CCTGCTGAATTTCCAATACATTAAAAAGACAAGGAACAACAATAACCATGAAATTAGTGATTTTATGTTTAAGTTAGTGACAGGAAACGTGAAGAACTGTCTTCTAGATCCTACTTCAAGAATATAAAATGCCAATAAGTTACAAATACCTTCGGGATTAGAGAGAGGTGATGGGGAGAAAGCGTGTGGCCGATACACAAACCTCCACAATCTTGTTTTTAACACGCTAACCTTAAATCATAACTATTAATTGAAAAAGAGATAGAAGTTCTACCTAACTTAAGTCTGATGTAGAGAAAATTTAAGTTGTATGCCACAGTCAAAGAGTCTTTGTTTTCAAAGTGAGTCAATCCATCTGCTGTGAATACTGCCAAACAAGTAAAATATTACTTTCCAAAAGTACACAGAAACTGTATACTTTGTTTGTGACAAATTTTCACTCTATTTTACAGGCTACCGCAACTTTGAATAGACAGTCAATCTTCTGTATACAAGCACATTATCAGATTAAGTTTTGGTCAACATTACGACAGAAGAGAGATGTCTGCTGAAAAACTGAGGACTGTGGCAGCTTTTAGCAGTATTTTTTACAAGGATATCAGAAATACACTTTAGGTCACTCAGGAGGATTAATCCTAATTAAGTAAAGCTGTAATTTAAATTGACCTAGTAAATTCGCGTAACATCACATGCTACTTCAGAGTTTGATTTAGCTTTCATTTAACTTCATTTGTTAGTAGCGGTCAGCAGTTCTGAATGAGGCTATTTTGTAGGTGTTAAAACAATCCAAGTCAACACTTGTAGAAATTCCCTCCCTCTTCCTCCTACGTGCTCCTGACTCCTCAGGGAAGACACTAAGCCAGAAGAGAACTACTCACCTTTTCCCTCTCTGGCCAAGTTAGTTGGCTAGAGCAGTTGTGGTGCCAGCAAAAGGCATGGCAACTCACAGGGAGAGATCAAAAATCCTTGCATGCAGCGAATGCAGCAGCCTAGTTTAGACACTGTCGTGGATTCAACTACTCCTAATGTAAGGATTTAATTGAAAGGAGCGTCTTTAAAAGTGACCAGGGATTTCCAAGTATCGACATCTAGATGTGTCCTTAACCAGACCTGGTTCCTAATCCATTTCAAGGTACAAGGCATGAAATTCTAAATTACCTGTATCCTAGCTAATCCAAATGGCTTCTTTGTCACTACAAAAAATATAGGATCTCAAGGAGGACGTTCAAAACAACAGTTCTCAAAGAGGCAGCTAATGGTTAACTATTAACCATGGAACTCACCTCCCCTTTATCTAGGGTTCAAAATTTCTTGTTTTGATCTTCATCTCAAAATTCGAGAACTCTGAATCCACCTCCAATGTGGAAATAGTGCCAGAATATGATTTTTTTTTTTTTTGACTGCTACATTTTGTATTTTACATTACACAAAAATCGCTAAATACATTTAAGGTACCTCTAGAATAACATTTAATTTTAAATAAACCAAAGTTACAATCAGGCAATATACTGAAAAGAGTACTTCCAAATTCCCTGGTTGGGACAACTGTCTCTACAAATTCTACATAGACGTACCAAATCAATAGGCAAGCACAGAGAAGAAGCAACTTGTCTGTCTTCAGGAACGTGGCTCAACAAACAAAAAATAAAATCCATTCCACAAACCATCAAAATTATCGTGACAAAAGTATACCCTTTTTATATCTGGAGTCTTCTGATTAAACATCATCATATTCAGGTAATAACAGATGATGAAAGACACTTATTAATCCCTGTTCAATAACCAGTAATTTCTATTTGACTTTTTACTTGTACAAGTTCATGTAAATAAACTGTATTAAAGGAAAGCACTCATGAAACAAGCAATAAAATTTAAGCCACTTACGCCCCTGGCCCTTGCCATGTCCATGTGATTGTGTCCTAGGAAGAGAAGCATAACAGTTGCAATTAATTATTGTACTTTAAACTTTCGTTACATTATAGATAGTATGATGTTGTATGAGTACGATGTCTTCACGGAAACTTTGATGCCCTATTTGCAGAAGCTTTTAGCCCTATTAAAAGTAAGCCAATTACAGTAGGAATCAGCTGCCTTTTATGAAGCTAGGAAATACCCAGTAATCCAGGTCTTTTACCACAAATTATCTATATTCATAGAACACAAAGATCCACGGATTTCTCAAATACTGTGAACCTTGGAAAATAAAATTATTTACCATAAACCAGTGTTCTTTCAGATGTACAGTTAATGTGTACTCTCTAACCCACCCACCTCTACAGGGCATCACTTAGTGTCCCTAACCCTTGGACCCTGGGTCCCCTGGACCTCCCAGCAATAGATATGAACACTCCTGAGACACTTCTGAAATATTCAGGGCCTCTAGAGACAACGTCAGAGAAGTCATCCCTAGTGGCAGGAGTCAGTGGGGTCAGTAAGACTTGCATCTGTCTTACCTCAAAACAATATTTTTCTAATTCCCTTTTCTCACAGGGGGCACGTATCCATCTGCCTGATCCAAGAGTCAAAGGTACATTATAAGACTATTATTACTAGATATGTCATTCCTAACATACCTTATAAGATTAGTATTACTACAACCACCAAACTGCTTTCAAGCAAGACCAGCAACACTCTTGGATAGCTAAGATGAACAGATCCACAATCTCAAATCCAAAAGCCCTATAGGAATGTTTGATGTAATCTAGAATTATGATGCTGCCCAGACTAGAGAATTGAACAAGCGGAGCGGGGGATGCCTGGCATTGGTTTTATTCTCCATTCTGCTACACAGAAATTAAAGTTTCTGTCAACTGCCCCTGAAGTCTAGGCAATTCTCTTTCTGCAATAAAAGGATCTGGAAAGAGATTGTGATAAAGCTTTTTATGAACTGTTTTAAAAAAAGAATTACATGTGGATAAAGAGAGGGAGAAGGCAAATAGGTAGCTATGAAAGTAGTGAAATATGAAATCATCAGCAAGAGAAGGATGAGACCCCCTGCAAAGGGGTAGATAAGTGACAAGAAGGAAGATGGCAGTACAGGCCATCACATTAACAGTAAGATTAAGGAACAGTGTAAAAAAAAAAAAAAAAAAAAATCTGTACTATGAGGTGGAAACTAGATTTGCACATGAAGGCAAGAAAACAAAAACTTGAAAATTAATTCCAAGCTGCTGTTCTGATCAGCTAGGAAAACAACGTAAAAATCATTAATGGAAAGACAACAAGAGACTCATGAAATTCAGGTTTCTAAAAGAGTAGATCACAGAGATATTTCTGTCAACCTACAGGATACTTTCTCATTTAGTTCCACGCTACCATCCAAAACCATTTTACAGAGTTTAGGTGATTGCATGTGCCAAGATCTTGAAACTGATGTTCAACTCATATTTTAATTACCACTTAGGAGTAGAAGATTGTCACAAGTAAAATGAAAGAGAGCAGCACATCCATAAAAAGTGCAATGATTAATAAGGTAGATCAAAAGCTTGGAATAAAGTCAATATACCATGAAGGACCACTGAAAATTTAAATCTTGACTTTTAAATTATTTTAAATGAAATAAAATACCATAAAACAAAGGGCTTCCATCTCCAGCTGAGATGGAAGCAATCAACTCTGATGCATGAAAAGAGCTTTCTCCATCTATTGGTCTCGTAGAACCCAAATAAATGCCTACAGTTTTACTGTTAAACAAGCTGCTTTTGACAATTTTAGTGTCTCTGATGATACCACACCTATACACATTAGGTGCTTTGTTTTTTTTTCCCCTCACAAGTAATTTTCATTTACAAACCCAGATCATGGAGCATAAGGTGGCCTATAATCTCTCTAATCAGAGACTACATCTGCCATATAGAACAACTGCACCACGCTACACACATCCAACTCAATCAGCTTCCTAAACTTCAACAGTGCAGGAGAGGATAGAGGGGGAAGAAAAGGGTGAGCGCTACAAAGTACCTTGCTGGAGCAATGGACCACTGAACAGCGAGTATATGTTTTCAGAACCCCAGCCATTGTGCATATGAGGAACTCAACCATGCCACAGAACAACCACTATGTGAGAAAATCCCAACTTTTATGTCACAGTGGGCATTTGCCTTCTTTCTCATCTGGAACATTAGGACATAGCATGAATGAAAAGTAAATGCTCGGCTGTGGAAAACAGGATTCTGCCCTGCAGGGAGCAGAAATATTTTGTTGTAGGCTCCCACTGAGGTATCCGTGATAAAAAGAGCAAGCAGACACTGGAAAGTGGCATTACCTGTAACTACTTTAGATGCTTTTTACATTTATCACAGCTGCCGGCTTATGCTCATGGACATCACTTACTTTCAAAGCATACTTACAATGCTATCAAAGTTTTGTATCTAGATAGTAAATCCTTTGAAATGAAATCTTCTACACAATTCGTATTTGACACAAGAAGATACCAAGAATCACATCAATCTTCAAATTTAAGCCCGTGTTGCAGCAGAATTAGAATCAGCATGTAAAAACACAACCAGTCACCCCTTGATACCCCAAGAATCAGAACAGATGCTTCTAAACCTCACATCAAATAGTGCAGCTAACCATTGAGGACACTTGGGCATCAGAATACTTTTAAAGAAGATCTGTAATATTTAGAGAGGTTTACAGCCTTCTTAAATACTAGCACTTTCCTCTGTTTGAATATTCTATGCATTAAGGAACTTAATGAAACAATGAATGGCTGTACAATCTAATATATGGGGACATTGGAGCATTTCCCTATATGGAATATGGATAACAGCTGTCCAGCATCCAACTGCTAAACACTAGTACTTTACCTAGCTCTTGGATGTAGAGAGCACAAGGAAACAAGTGTGTAACAGTGCACACAGCTACTGCATTTACCCCAGGCTCTAATCTCCAAAAGCCTCCCAAAACAGTCTGGTACACACACCCGAGATCATTCTCATTTCTATTTTGGAGGTCAGAACTCTGAAGGTAGGACAGAGCAGCTAGTTCAAGCTGAAAGCAGTGGAGCAATTGCACGTGACGTGTAACTAGAGTTCATTGGTTAAGCAAAGATCTTAAGGAGAACATCCATTCCTAAACCTAAAATTAGAATATGCACTGGCTAAACAGGACAGACAGACAGAAAGATAGAGGAAAAAAGACTTGCTAGAAACGCAGTCTTGAGCTATAAAAGACAACATTCTCTCCCTACTCCTTTCTTCTTACTACCTCTTAAATACACCCTAACCAACCCTGATCTGTCCTTCATATACCATATCAAGCCCCTCCTTCCCCATCGCACTCTAACTTTGCTACATCTCTGCTGCAGACCTCAAGCTAATCTACAGTCAAAGATGAATAGCAATTACTTTATTTTCCTTTCTCATTAACATCAGTAGAAGAAATTCTTAGGAGTCAAGTGACTCATCAAGGCACTAAAAACATAGCAGTGTTATTATAAGCAGTGAAAATGAGAAAATGTAGGCTGATTATCCTACAAGTTACCCACATTCAGGTCATCTCTGTTGGACATCTACATAAACATAGTTTCTTTTAAGACATTTTACAAAAACGTAAAAAATGTATGAAGTTCATAGAAGGTTTATCTGTGTTTTACACTGAAGTAAATCATTGTTAATAGAGTACTAGAAACATTTAATATCGTTTAGAGACACTGCATATTATGCACTATAGGTAATAAGAAAATTTCAGTACGAAAATTCATTAATATATTTTCGAAGATAATTGCAAAGTTAATGTTTGATAGCTTTGTATGGTTTGATATTATTATAAGTGTAATATTCATATACCTTGTTACTCTTGGTTAAGTATGACATAAGGTGTATGTGAATTTGCATTTTAAACAGGCATGTCAAAACAGGTTAAAAATATTTAGAAAATGATCTGTTTTCCTGAAGATAAAACAATTTCTATGTACTGGGGAAGAAAAAAAAGTCACTGACAATCTGCTATAACGCTTACTAATACTATGCAAGCATAACAGAGGCTACAATACTTGTCACAGTATCCTCAAAGATAATTTTGAGGGCTGTTACCACAAACCAGTTGACTGCCATCACACCTGGTCTCAATCAAGAGTCAGCAGTGGGCTCTGCATATTAACTTTGTTTAGGAATTTTTATCAAGCATACGTTTTATATCAATTGACAGAAAGATCAATGGATGGAAACACTTTAAAACATAAGCATTCAGTAACCAAGAGGAAACTGCATCCTTGCTAACATCAAGGGGTGGTTAACAGGCCAGTCAAGGAGGGAGAACGTGGTCTTCTAATGCAATGTACATCACCAAAGAGGCGAGGCAATCCTTATCTCAGTTTTGACAATCCTCCCATCTTCCCCAAATGCCTTGAATTTCAGTAAGGGGAACAGACTAAACCTGAAAGTAATCTCCAAGGGGCTCAAAGAAATAAAATAAAAACCAAGAAAAACAATTTAACTATAAAAGCCAGCACAGTTCACTAGGGAGCACCTTCTTGTAATTAAACCGAGGAATGCAGAAAGACAGGATTCTTGCTGTAATAGGACAATAAAGTATCTACAGCAGGTCAGCTGAACAAAAAAATCCCTCTTCTCTGCTTTCCTGTAGGCCTGATCTTGAAGTAGACCAGGTGAGCTCTGCTCATATCTTCATAAGCATTTGTAACAATTGTCTAATTTAGATATTGTAAATAAACACTTTAATTTGCATTTTAGTCTTTCAATATAAATCGTTTTACACTATTTCAAAGTAGCCAGCATCTAACATTCCTCACCCAAGTGCACAGTGAATGTAAAACAAGGCCAATGTGACCTTACAAAATGGGGAGCTCCCTAATAACTTTGTAATTATTGATTTTTTTTTCCCCCCCCATTTTATGACTACTATTTCAGCAGCCAGGAGCTGCAGCAGCATCTTCCAGCAGCAAAGGATGGTAAGAAAAGCTCTGCAGCGCACAGCCTAGTAACAGGGAGCACTTCTGAACGCAGATCCATGAGAGAATTTGACGTTTCTGCCTTGTTGTTTATGATCAGCAAATCTACAATACTTCTTGTAATGACCTGAATAATTTTCAGAGTACTGTTTTGAAAGAGAAACTTAAAAAAAAGCAGAAGTATCTAAACTACTCCATTTAAGTCTGTTTATACTGCTAGAGACTTAAGGAATGCATAGTCAGTCAAAAAGCAGTTAACAACACTTTCTAACTTGCTAAACCTAAGGATCAAACCTAAAAGGTTTCAGAAATGAATGTGGAAGAAAATGCGTTTTGATTACAAATGTTAAATAGCTGATATTTCTAATTACGAAACAAGCTGAACTTACCAGTTTGTTTGGATAACGTAAAACCACTGGCTGTACAGGAACTCCTGGGATAAATGCTCCTAGAAAGCACATATGACTTGTCAGTACTTCACAGTACATTTTGGTACAGAAGAATTTATTGCAATAAGGAAAAGACTATAATGTAATTATACCAATAATGGTTTGGTATAAACACAATTGCAGTTGATTGCAAAATAAGTTCTTAAAGTAGCCTCAAAAGTATTTATGAAAAAATAGGAGAAGAAAAAAACAAGCACTGGAGAGTGAGAACATATACCCATCTTTTCAGAAGATAAACTACCAAGAATGCTTGTTTACATTCTCTAAATTATCCTATACTACTTAGGTGAACCGTCATGAACACAAGGCCAAAACCAGTACCAAATTCAATTGGATTATTCAGTTCAATATTATTATTCAACTGATTATCAAATGATTATTGAAAGAAAGAATACATGCAAGATAATTAAATCAATACATTGCCAGTGGTCAACACCGTTTTTTAGTGAAGAACCTAAGCTTCTTTCTGCAAAAGAAGTTCTGTTTAGCTGAGTAACACTGATTTAATGCATCATCTTTGAAGTAATGGTATGAATTTAATTTCTTTTCTCTTTTTGTACCTTATTTTCCCTCAGAAGGGCTTGCTTGTTTATTCTCAGTTATGGAAAATCTAACAGTTAAAATGCATTGGACTAGAGCTGTTGTACCTAAGTATTACTTCATGTTATATGAAAATTATGGTTTTAATAAATAGGTTGCGTAAGATCTATAGATGTCATTTGCTAATCATTTTCCTTGGCTTTATCATACATAGCAAATCCTTGTGCTAACTACCTTGCTCAACATTCCTCTGAACACATCTTTTTCTCATAAAAAGAAAAATTTGGTTAATAAAAATAGCCACACAAAACATTTTATGAGTAAAGCTATTTACTAAGCTGCATAATATTCCAATTAAAATTTAGAACTGAATGATGCAGGTATATTGCATGTTCAGCATTACGTTTGCTTTATGAAACAAGTAATTGCAAAGATATAAAAAGAATAATTGTTAACGGAGTGTAAACATCTTTAAATGAAGGTTGTCTGACAGGGAACCAAGAGATTTGGTTCTTGGCCTAGTGGCATTTTCTGTTCATTCTCCAAGAATAATGGCCTTAGCAACTTCTGAAAAAAAATCTGACTGAATAGTAAATGACACCACGACCATTTATGCAAAACTAGACAGCTTGCCCTGTACAGTTAGCTTGCATGAACACAAAAGAGAAAAGCGTACAAGAAGAACAAAGAACAGAGTAAGGCCACAGGAGCAGAGTGAGGAAAGGCATTCTGAAAGCAATTACTCAAATAGGGACCTAAAGTCCCTTGATACAAGCAAGGAATTTTGAGGCAAAGGATTTCTGGGAGCCTGGATGGATACAGAAGCAGGTCGCAGCAGGAAAAGTGAAACAGTCAAGAGGCAAAGAGCAGCATGGGCTAGACCAGAGAAGTAGAAGACAGAGGCACAGTGGGGACTTGAGGTAGAAAGTATATGGCATCTGGTGGCTGGAATGACTATGGAACAGAGGGAGAGCAGGAAACCAGGACTTCAATGAAGAATTCAAGTTGGTTTACAAAGCATGGCCAGGATTCAGGTGGAAAGAGAATAAAGAATGACAGAAGTGGATGTTCTCCTCATTCACTCATCTAAAAGGCAAGAATTGACACAGAAGGAAGAAAAACCTTTTGAATGTTTGTTCAGGACACAATACAAAGATTCTTTCAGTCAAATGAACCACAAGCAAGATTCCAAGCAAGGAACCACAGCGTTGACTCGTTGCATGAAATCCCAACAGGGAGACGTAAGTTGCAAGCAACATAAAACATAAGACACACGCAGTAAGACCAGAACATGATGAGCTAGAGAGAAACCCAGGAAGAGTCAAAAGCAGTTTCAGAACTGACTCTCTCATTGCAGCCTGCTCACTCATCACCTCCCTATCTATGTCACAGAGGAGAGTTAATATCAAAACGTTGGTGGTACACTGCAGAATTAGCAATCCTCCGTATTATAAATGCAGCTTACACGGGCAAAAATGCTCAGTTCACTTTATACTCATTTGATAAGCAAAATCAGCACTACTAACGAAAAACAGCTTAGAGGGTGGACATTTGATAAAAAATACCATCTAAAAAGACAGCCTCTGTAACAGACAGAGCTCTATCAGCTAAAGATTCCCATATCCTCTTTGCTAGAATGTAACTCAACAGAAGAGTGTACAGCCTATGCCTAATCAGAAGACAGGAATCAACCAGAGACTAGTCAGAAGCAGATGCTGCAGCAGTCTCAAACAGATACACACTGAAACCTTAAATGCACTATACTTAAATGTTCCAAGACTAATCCCAAAACAGGAAGGGTGGGGAGGGAGGGCACGTTAGTCTGGTAGCTCATATGAATCTCAGAAGCCAAGTGTGTGTGTGTGTGTGGAGGGGGGGGGGGGAGAGATTGAGTTATGTGAACCAAAGTTTTGCATGTTAGTGGAACTACATTCCTTCTGCAGCATCAGAAAAGTTCTACTTCAATCCTGCCCTGTTGCAAGTTTTAACTCAACTTCTGCAACACCAAGCAAATTACAATGCAAGTGGTATTTTAGAAACCGAAGATATAAGAACATTCTGTAGAGAAGAAATGAGGATCATACCTACCAGGCTTGAATGTAATTAGACAGGATCGGTTTGTGCAAGTGCCCTCTGGGAATATCATTATCTTGAAGTAAAAAAAAAAGTTTACTTTTGAGAAATATTTCTATTTCACGTAGATTTATTAATAAACACATCTTTTCAAAAATAATGTTAATGGATTACAGTAAAAAATTTTCAGGGAAAAACAGCCCAGCTAAAGTAAAGAATAGTCCTCAATGAAGAAGTCAAGCAAAGTTCTAACTAGTCAAAATATTTTTCTTTATGTGGGAATTTGCCTCTTTCTTGACCTCTGATAACAATTCAGCTCTACCAGAACACTGACAGGGACCAGAACAACTTGCAAGTACAAGAGAATTCTCACAGAAAGTTTTGGTGCTGGTAAAAATCTCATTTTTTGCTCTGTACTGGAAAAAAATTCCTGCTCCCAAGCTACCTACTTAGAGCTAAGAAAAGGAAGACTTATTTTCTTTCTGCATTTAATACTTGGCACATACATAGATACCAGAATGACAGAGGCTGCAAATATCTAAGCAGAATTCTAATACAGGAAAAAAAAATCCTCACGTTGAACCAATTTCAGAGAAAGAGATTAGACTGCAAAAAAATTTTTGGTCAGCAAAAACCAAAAACTGCTGAAAGTTTGATTAGTTGCAGAATATTACATTCAAAGGAAATAAATACATATTAGAAGGCGACAAAGCAATGGTCTGGAATTAAGGATATTAATTTTCTTGCCCACTCTGGTACTGGCTTCCTAGATATTCTCTGGGAAGTCACTTCAGGTCTGCAACTCATTTTCTTCATCTATAAATGGGAAAATTTACTTTTTAAAGCTCTTTGAAATTTACTGATGGAAGTTATGATGTGAAAGCAACGTATCACCTTTCTGCCAAATTTTTCATAATGGCTCTGTAGTCCAGTAGGTGGACATAACATTTGTAGTAATAACAAAGTCAGGAGACACAGCAATGCTATATCTTAATCTCAAAAACTCCCAAGAAGTGCGCTTCAAGTTTCCAAAATAATCACATATTTATAGAAAATTTAGACCTGAGGCGGTCATTCCTTCCTTCACCTTACTCTTTTCCAAGGGGCATTCTAAGTAGTCAAATTTCTTTTTTTGTTTTGTTTTTATTTAAAAATCTCTGAGCTGCTTACTTCAGAGCAACAACACCTGTTCCAACAGAAGCATACTCCACTTATCGGAGCACATGAATTACTTGGGTCTATCTTGCCTAGTATCCTATCTCTAACAATGGCAAAAGCCTAAACCTCAACAAAGGCAAGAACACATACTCCCCCAGGTATTCTACTAAACCTCCGATTATTTTCTTAGAGTTTTTCCTAAAAATGATGTAGTTTGTCCATTTAATAACACTTTAACAGTAACTCTTCCACGTACTTATCCAATCCACATCCTTGCAACGCATTGCAACGAACAGCTTTGCGTTAGAGATGTTTTGTGCAGGTAACTTACTTGCATTGTATATTAGGGAGGGGGGGAAACCAATCCCCCCCATAAGCTGTCTGAAGCATCCTACAGGGCAACAGGCTAAACTGTATACCCAAAGCCTGCAAATGCCAAATATCATTTGTCACATAGTAGTAATATACAGTACCTGTGGCCATTTACCAGACTGAGCACGTCTCTTTATTTCCTCAACAGTTTTCCTGCGAGAATCCTGGTCTGATCGAGATACAAACACTGGACGGATGTACTTGATTAAAGCTGAAGAGGAAGAGAGGAAAAAAAAAACACCTAATTTCTTCCCCCTCTTGCTTGAAATAAAGATTTGCATTTTATCATAGTATTCCTCTGGACAAAAATTTTAACACAGACAATAAACTGCTTTAATAGATTACGCTACAAGCTTAAGATTTGAGCAGAATTATTACAGCTTTATTGAACTATTTTCATGGATTTCTGTAAAGGAAAACTGCTTTCACAATGTTAGCACTTTGTAGAAGTTCAATTTTTAACAGACCAATAAACATGTAGCACACACACACAACTTAAAACAAGCCGGTACATATTATGCATAGTTTTCTAAAACAAAGCAGCTGGGGCTGACTACAGGCCATTTCCTCCTATGACAAAATCCACAGGAAAAGCCCTCCAAACAAAGTTAGCAGGAACCTCCACAGGCAAGTGCTTCCAAAAGACATCCTGTGGTTCTGGAACGGCCACTGTTTTCTAGAGCTTTCGCCTCCTACGCTAAGCTGCCAGAGCTGCGGTATCTGCAGTGAGGCTATCAGAAACATTCCATATACACATTATGTTATCTTTTCTGTGGAATTAGCATTATCAAAAGAAAAAGCATGCCAATTTGCTAAGCTCTTACCTGTTTGCTAGTTCCTCATACTAGATTAATCAGATCTCAGGCATTCTCTTACCGATTCAGTGGCCAACTCTTTTGTACATAGCCAGATACAAAACGAGAGTGAGCTCAAGAGTCAAAAATGAACCCACAATACCCCTTTCATACATGTCTGTCTCAAGAATATTGAGGCTCACTTGAAAATAAAATTTCAGATAGCATATCCAACTCTTCTGGAACGCCAAAGAGCACTACAAGAGAAGCACCTGCAAATACATCTTTCCAAGCTTCATGCTTGAATTTCAGCAGACAGTCTTTAAACATCTTTTTATGTTTTCTGTCTTGTCATCCTTTTCCAAACTTTAAGAGTCACAAAATCACTAGCTATTCTTTTTGCCTAAAATAGAGATACAAAATACAATTTTCATATTTCCAGCTGTTGGGGGTAAGTTCACTGATGCTAGCTGTATAACGCATAGTTTTGCAAAGGATACACTTGCTACACTAATGGATCAGCCAGTGCTTAAAGTGAGGGGGGGGGGGGCGCTGTACAGAATGATGACTCAGCAAAAGTTGCTGGTTCTGGTGGTACCCAAGTGCAGTTTCCAGCACTCACCAAAATCCTTGAACAGGTTCTGTGAAACTAACCCCTCACACCCTGCAGCAAGTTCCCAAACAATTGGCTAATGATACCTCTGAAATACTACTTTCACCCCACAGGTTGCTGAAGCTTAGTGGACAGTACATAAGAGAAAAGTCACCATACAATGAATGTTCCTGTACTTTTCCCTGCATACCTGCTCTTGGCCAATAACTACAGAACAGTGCTTGCTAGGGGAATATCAAAGGTCATTGTGGGCCAACTGGTGTTACTGATATCGGAAGGCCAGAGGAAGAAGAAAAGAGACAAGTAGTAAAAATGCAAAGGAAATTAAACGTATGTGTTTCCTGTGGTCAGAAGTCAAGTCAAAATGTAAGGAAGCCTAGAATCAGTACTATAGGTAGTACATGAGGCAAGAAATAGGCAGAACTAGAGCAAACTCAGGGCAGGAACAAAAAGCAGTATGCATTAAAATAGCTTCAGACAGCTGGCATATTGTGTAGTCAAAGGAATTAAGCAGAACAGTGCAATATGCTTAATAAGCAGAACAATCTTCATTTTCTCTGCTCATCACTTTCTCAACTGTCCAGGAGAGGTTGTAACCAGATGTAACCAGGTAGCTAAGACTCAAGTACTCGAGAGATACTGAAAGAGGTCCTTGTCTACCTACTCTCACCCCATTAAAAGCACACTTAAATTATAAAGTCTAGCAAATGGTGATGGATAATCCCTTAGTTCACAAAACTGACTGCCAGTGTCATTATTCCAGCTTTTTCTCTAGTAGTCTCAGACCTACTTGATGAACACACTCTCATACCCAATTTCAGCTCATCACAAGAGGTCCTGAAGATAGGTAACACATGCTGTACTCCACCTTCTTAGGCATGTGTCTGCATTACAAACTCTCAGTAATTCAAAAACCCTGCAGCCCTGTAGGGCACAGGTGGGGAGGGACAGGTTGCCACAGACAAGCTAACTGATGGAAGGTTGCTCTAGCGCAAGACAAACTGCTTGACAGAGCTTGCAATAAATCAGTAATAACTTCCTTACAGCTTGACAGCTCCTCCAACTGATTTCAGAATGTTAACTTCTATGCAATCACTTCAAGCACCAGCTGATACATTAAGCCATAAAGTTCTACCTTGATGAGCTGAATACACACAATTTGTGTCAATGAACTTACCTCAGGATAACTGGAAATAAAATGGTATTTCATATTTCTATTTCCAGGCAAACTTGGGTGAGGAAACTTTGTTTCAAATCAAGAGTTAAAGTGCCACTCAACATATGATATAACAAAGTACTGTTGCAAACCCTGTAATGTATGTTTGACAGTTACAACCATACTGCAGAAAAAGCTACGCTGACAGCATTGCAGCTGTTGTATAAGGAGTCAGGGAACACAACAAGCGAGTAGTGTAGCACTAAACACTGTTCTTCTAAGATGTGCCCCACACATGTATTTTTGAGTAGGCAGCGACATTTTTATATCATCCCTGTAGAAACAGCATCAAGCAGAGCTGACAGATCTGCTGCAAGAGTAGAGAACACTGAACATGAGGCTTTCACACAGCCTCTCCCGAAAATCCCATCATGCATGTTCCTCTGATAAGCTGAGAGGACAGCCTAGACTTCAGTACAATTGGTTTTATTGTTCGTTAACATGGAGGCAGGCCATATAACACAGGTAAACTTGCAGTGGAATATCCATTTACAGGCCTTACTCTCTCATTTTTCCTACTGTAGGAAAAAAAATACAGGCTGCTTTCTGGTAACACTTGCTATCTTGTGTGTTTTGTTTCTAGGTCTTACAAAACATTAAGGTTCACAAAGGTTTAAAAAGTCCTGTCTTGGGCTTTGTTTTAAGAGTTGCCTTATGGATATGCTCTTAAAGTTTTTATCTCTCACCTTTTCTTATGCAGCAACACCTAATATGAAAACTGTTTTTTGGGGTTTTTTTTGGTGGGGGGAGCCTGGAAAGGAAAGAAAAAAGGGAACTCTGCAAAGGGCTCAGAAGTAGTCTTCTGAAGGCCACAGGATCCAAAAATTAGGATCTTTTCCACTTGAAGTTATACTGTTTGCACTACTCACGATAGTAGTCACGATATTTCTACATGAGATTCATAAAGATAGTGGTAATATCTTTTTGGAGTAACAACCATACACAGAAAAAAAAAAAAAAAAGCTTTCTTCACCAAGTCTGAAGCAACTGCTAAGGCTAAATATATGTTGAGAGCAAGTGCTTTGAGTTTGACTAAATACTTACCAGCTAGGCCATCTGATAGAAAAGATGTTCAGCATTTGTATCTTAGAGGCAGTGTTAATGGGGAAGTTGTTCTCCCTATTTCCAAAGAGAAAGGCAGGAAACGTACAGTCTACAGGACAAGGAGAGGTCAGCAGTGGGAGGTCTACAATCAGTGCTCTGTTTAGTTTTAACTGAAGTAAATTCTTAGGTGGCATTTGGGTGGGTCTTTCAAAAACGTGATCTGTTTCCCTGAAGGACTTCTTGAGGCATGAAGACCCTCTTCATATTGCCAGGAGTGCTGTTTGCTCTCATGCCTGCAACACCTGTCTCAGGGCTTGGCTGTATGTTTTGGCTTTTGTGCCACCATTCTAAATGGTTGCTATTTAATGAAGGTAGTTGTACTGGTTTGTAGGTTTCCTATATACTGTAGTTTGTAACTTACCATGAACAGTGTTAACTAGGATGCTTAAGGCAAATGACGGTGGTTAGGCATTCCAGCAGCAGTTTAAAGGAAAGGTAATTGCTACTGAATTTATGGTGGAAATCAGCAAGAGTCCAAGATTTTAATCTAAACAAGAGACTTACCTAAAAATAGACATGACAGCATACACTTGACAGTACAGCTATTCTAAATCTCCTCAAGATAGCTCCTGAAAGGTCTGGAGTATTGCAAGGGCTGGGTGCCCACAGCCTGAAGGAAATACTGGATTTTGAAACTGAATTTTTAAAGAAAGAATGAAATGGATAAGCTTAGTAATAATTTCAAGCCACTGCTCCAAACTGTAATGCTCTTTTGTGTTCTCCAGGCAGGCTGCAATGCCAGTACAGTGTGGGATGCTTGCGTTCAAGTTGGTGACCTCAATTATGTTGTAACCTGCTGGTTTACAGTGTATACAGAGAGCAAGCCTGTGACATTTTGAAAAAACCTGCTGTAAGGTAGAAAGGTGTTTGAGAACTGTATGGGTGGATCCCAGGAGTATTTAATTGTGAGATCCTCACTGAAAACCCATGGCTCAGCCACGGCTCTCTTGTTTGTGTGCTTTGGAAAGTAGCCCCCTTCCAAGAACCACTGGGGTAGGAGTCTGGGGGATGAGGTTCCACAACTTTTCAGAGCTGATGGGGAAGTGATTTGATTCCTTCTCACATAATTACTTATGTCTGTTAGCCATGATCCTCAAAGGCCTACAAAGTACTTTTGAAAGATGAGTTTGAACAAAAACTCATAACTTCACTTATGAGTGAAAAGACATCAACTGAATTGATGAAAACTGAATTGTTTTTACAGCATGCCAAGATTCTCCCTTCCTCTAGGGTCTTCTGTATTCTAGAAATTACCTCCTTCAAAGACTTAAGCTACTATATCCCCCCTCCCATTTCAGAGGTACCAACTTCCTCTCTCCTTTCAGAAGGGGTGAGGTTACAGGTGTATAGCAGTTGCTTTAGCTTAGATATCAGCTCAAGTTTAGTTTTAAAAAGTTCAAGTCACAGAAAAACACTTTGACTCTACCAATCACAAAAGTCGGTCTAACAGACAAACAAAACAAACGAGAGCAAAAATAGCATTTACTGACAAATCCCTTTTCCTTTGTATGGAGATATATTTCTGCCCGAGCACTGACCACTTCAGCTGTAAAATAAATAAATAAAACAAAAAAAATCACTTTTAAGCAGGCTGCTTTACTATAGAAAAATAACACAGACAAGTGTAAGGAACTAGAATTTGTGCAGAGCTTGTTTTGACTCCAAGCGGTGGTCCAGCAGACAAAGCAGTAAGGACCTGGGCCGATGAATGAACTGATCGTTACTTATTCAGCCAATGTAAGGTGCGACAGATTCATAGGTGTTATCTTCGTTGGGCTCTGCAGCTCATACTAAAGTGGTCAACTGAACTTCGAATCTTTCGCCTACTAAAACTCTGGAAAGCCATTGTGTACAAAGACATGTGCTACTTCAGTCGCCTGGTGATGTGTCCACCCTATTCTGGCATTCTCTACTCGAGACACTGATTTTGCAATGATCCATTTATGCCTGGGTAAGCAGTTCCTCCCCACAGTTTGTTAAACCACTGTGTACATGAAGTGAGCATCTTCTTCACCACTGATCACTAACTCAAGAGGTCATAACTCTTCTATTACAGCAAGAGTTCCCCCCGACCCACACACACAAAGAAAGAAGTTGCCTAAAGAAGTCAGGAGACTTAAGTCTGCTACAGAAATTGGATTTTGTGGTCCAAGAGAGCTGCATTCAAGTTAGAAAGCAATAAAACACTCACTCTCGCATGTGCACATACACACACTTGTGGAATAATTCCAATTCCAGAAGAACAGGCTTTCAATCATCTGGACTTAAAACTGCCGGTGAGTCAAAAAACTTAACATTGCATGATTGGCAAACTAGGAGAATCGTAATAGAGGCAGCTGCACCAGAAACCTACAAAAATGCTTCTGGAATCGATCCTGGTAACCAGTTAACATTCAGACCTTTCTGTGCCCGCTATAGCAGCTAGTCCCTCCGGTGTATGAGGCACACTGCTCTGACAAACGCAGTTGTTGCATCAAAAGAGACAAGCTATTTACTATGCATATTTGGAGATTTTGGATGAAGATCTATTCTTAACCAAGAGCCCTTATCCTTAGAAATTATCTTAGGATTTCCTTTGCTGCTTGATTTCTCACGTACATTTAACACTGGGCATTGCCTTTTCAGTATGCACATTATTCAAAACCTCTAAGAAAATTCTGAAAAGACTGTTAACAAGCCTCAATTAGGAGGTAGGAATGTTAAGTTTATCAATGGCTGGCTCCAAAGCACCACTGGAGTTGGCACAAGAAGTCTGCAAGATTCACAGAAACTGAAGAACATAAACAATTCTGACCTTTCTGGGACAAGTTCTATATGAATGTCTGACTGAAGGGTTTTCCTAAATCAAAAAAAAAAAAAAAAAAAAAAAAAAAAAAAAAAAAAAAAAAAAAAAAAAAAAGAGAGTATGATAACATTTTGCAGATATTATAAGAGAAATAACAACAGACAAATGATAACATGAAATACGCCCTACCCTCCCTTTTTTTAATTAAGGGAAAGATAAAGAATAACATTGGAATTATCATACTAGATCAAGGAAGTAGAGGGTGGCCAGTAGCAGCTGTTTCACAAAAAGTCTTTTCTAAGCAGGAAAGAAAAAAACTAAAGAGACTAAGTCAAACTCTAATTATTACAATACAGAAACTTACTTACCTCTTTAAATCCATTCACTTTAATAACACATGCTACAGTAATTACGGCTGTTCAAATAAGCAGTTTTAGAAGCTTTTTGAACTCTGAATCTCAGTTGAGACGTCTGCCATGTTTTTAAACATTTCAGTGGCTTTTCTCTGAACACTTTGTAAAGGACTATCATTTTTGTGGCTGCATGACATAAATGCAGTAATATAGGACAAAATGCTAACTTGACTGCACTGTTTTTTCCAGTAAGAGTCAATCAAATGCTTATATGCAGCTTTCTGGATTTTTTTTCCCCCCCTGTAACTATTTTTGCTCACACATGAACAAGCGCCCCCCCCCACCGAGTCAAATCTTAACCCTAGTAGAGTGAATCATGATCTTACTACCTTTTAAAAACATGGATTGGACCAAGTCTGGACTTCATTTGAATCCTATAGAAAAAAAACTTACAATTAAATTAGGTATATAGGAAACTGTGGATGTCTTGATATGCCTTATTTATGCTATATTCAGTGCAATTACAATCTTCATTTCCCTGCAGATTTATTCTCAGACTTTCATACTGGTCCCCCACTGAATCTATTAAGTTGGATAGTTAGGGAGCTATTACAGCTTTCTGTTGATTTTTGTCATTTCATCCCATTTTAGTGGCACAACATGGCATGGACTTAACTCATCTAGTTTGAGTCCTCCAAATAGTCCAGTTGAAAGTAAGAAAAGCTGAAAGCAGAGTTCCACATGTGCTAATTCATTTTGCTAAGCTGGCAATTACTAAGCAGTTGGTGAGTCAGCTGAGAAACAGTACAAATCTGCCCTTGGTTCTATGGCTGGACTGCTCCAGATTCCCAATGCAGCCTAGGTACCTATACAGAAGCATCAACCTATCCTTTTGCAACAAGATCTTTCAAAACTCGACAACCTATTTCAAATTTGTTTTGATTTCTTTCTCAAGCTATGCTTGCTTGCATACATTCATTTTCTAAACATGGATACATCCTTTTTGTTCAAAGGATTTATTTCAGTTCTGGCCTATGCTTTACTTGATGCTCAGACACCTTTGTATCAAGGAATTCTCTACATGAAGCTTCTAGATGTAACCACTCAGGATTTGCCAGCGTCTTTCAGCTTCTGGTTTAAAGTATGTCCTTAGAGCCACATTTTTCAGAGAAACTGTAAAGTCACATTGTCCAGTGAAACTGCAGGAGAATGTCAACATCAACAGTCTCATTCCACTTAGTTGCTACGGAACTCAAAGCTTTTCTTCAGACTTCTGTATTTAAGTATCTTCAGCCAAAGGCCAAAGTCAACTCTCGTCTCCTTTTTGTGTAGGGACCAACTTTGCTGGTCCCTACACAACAGGGTACGTTTCTCGGAAATGCTGCCATACAGATTTTTGTTACAAGTCGTCTTCCTCGTAGTCTAAAGTGAACTAGTCTTTAAGATTTCTTATATCTTCAGCACAAATGCAGCAAAATCAAAGGTATCTCTAAACACTTAGCGGAAATTTGCATTGATAACTCCAAAGACAATATTCCAATACTACTAACTTCGGTATCTACATTTCTTACAACTAAAGTGGAGAGCACAACAATCTGCTTTTGCTTCTTATTTCTCACAGCCTACCTTGAACAAACTTACTCAGGGAACATGAGGGATTAGCACCACTCCCTCCAGGCAGGGCCCCAATCAGAGCAGACAGTTGTTCTTAAAACTCATCTGGGAGACAGCTTCTCAACATACTCCAAGAAAGAGAGGTTTTGGTGAACTTTCTCTAAAGCCTCCCCTTTGCCTCCATAGCCTCATCTTAATGTGCTTTTCCATTTGCCAGGCCTTAAGATGTTGCCTTTCCACTGCAAATTTAACCAAGGTTTCTACAGAATTAAGTTTTGACTTTGTACAAGACTTACCTTTCAGAGAATGGAGGGGGTTAAAAAAAAAAACAAAAAACAAAAAACACCCTACACTCCAAACTTTTTCTGTCAACATTCATTAATCACAGCAGACCTAGAAAAGTCTCACCTCATGTGATAACAAAATGTTTGTTGTTTCAGGCCTTCTCCACAACGAGCAAACTTAATATTTTTTGAAAAATCAGGTGTCTTTCAACTTACTTCCCCACACAGGAATATCTTTGCTTTCTGCTTTCATCACAATGGAGGCGAAGGTCATAGTTACTGGAATGGCATCAAAGTAGGACGAATGGGGAGCCACCGTTAATATTGCTGCTTCTGCTGGCAACGCCCGTCTGCCCTTTACATTTATCCAGTGGAATCCTCCAGCAAGCCACATCATTCTCATGATTGCTTTCAGCAAAACATCCACTATCCTGTAAAGAGTTGAGATAAATATCCCTGTGGCACTGTAACTGTTAAAATATTTTAAAGAAAAACTTTACACAAAAACCAAAAGCTTGCAGAAAGCAGACAGATAGGATATTCTGCTTAAATAGAACAGGAACATTACATAGTTATTCTATTCTCTTTCTGAGCAGGTTTAATACCACTTTCAAGGCAAGAGGCCATTAGATCTTATTTCATTTAGTTTCTAAATATTAATTCTTTTTAATCACAATAAAATTGATATTTCTTTTACCACTAAATTAATTTTGCATCAGACTGACTGTTGATTTTCTCCTATAAAATGTTTAATTATACTTTCTAACAACATCAAAATGTTCTAATAAACTTCGTCCCAAAAAAACACTCTAGGACAGGGCTAGAATGCAACAACTCCAGTTCCTGGGTTCAAGTTTACCCAAATAAACCTGTGGAGGAGCACAGGACAGAGATTGTCAAACAGGGAAACGCACAAACACCACACCACCTGGGAGCTCTGGAAATATTTTAATTTTTTTCTTCTTACCCTTCTCCCTATCTTTTCCTTTGGTATTTTTTTTTCCTCTTGTCTGGCAGTCACACAAAAACATTTACTTTGAACCAATAGAGTGCAAAAAACAAACAGCACAAGTTGTTACACTCACAACTGGACTGGGACTGGAGAGCAGGGTGACACTGAAGAATAGATGAAATGGGGAAGGGACAATCTAAAAGCTTGAAAATAACTCTATGCAAGACTGAAGGTCATCTTTTTTCCCCCCCCTCTAATCATTACATTTAATTTGAAATAATATTGATATCAAGTGACATGCCTCTATGGTTCTCAAACTCCTTCCCTCCTGTGATACAAAATACAATCAGCTTCCCTCAGGCTAGTGCCAGCTCCTATGTTTTCAGTGTTCTCTACCACAGAAGTGATACACTGCTCCTTCCTTGCTCCTCAAATAGCAGTTTTCACAGATGGGTGAACACTACCTTACATTCTACGTTAACTGGCATTCCAGTATCAAAGCAAGCACACAGACTTACTAATGAGTGCCAAAGCATAGGGCAAGACTTCAGAGAATCAACAGAAATTCTGTCAATTCATCACAGGAGAGCAAACAATAAGGTGAAACAGTTTAAACAACAATCTAGAATATGAAATCTGGACATATTCCATGGTGTCAATCTTCATAACATGAAGTAGACATTTTCGGGAATAATTGAAACTGACGGACATCACAATGAAGTTTTACACTATATCCTCAATAAAGACATAAGACTGATAATGATCTGTCTCCTTCCCTGTAATTCTAGGGTCATCTAGTAGAATCAAATAATTGATATATTTTTAGTTTCCTATCTAAGGAAAACATTTAAAAGATAAATAGTTGTTATATTTTTCTTTTGAGGAAGAGAAAAGCAGGTCTGTGGGGCAAATACATTACCAAGTATTTCCAGTCTTCTCTATTTCAAACTGCTGAACTAAATATTGGTTCTTTTAGTACTGCACTGCATCAGTGACTCACTTTCGCCACCAGGAGAGGGGCTTTTCAAGCTCTTGCTCATCAGATCCCATTGAAGCAATGAATGCAAAAGGCCAGGCCAGCAACATCATAAAAGCAGCAAAAAAGAGTCGGATAGGAAACAGAGTCAAGGTCATGAAGGCAATCTGCAAAACCCAAAACAAGTGAGTTATTCTAACAATCTCAGACTAAAAAAAGTCAGCAATTTTTAGAAACTGTTCTGAAGTGTTAACTTAAAAAATAAATATTCCAAATAAATAATGCTTTACTTGTATATGTGTAATAATTCTGTATTCACAGATTTTATTTAAAGTTGAAACAGCAACACTCTGAAAGCTAACAGCCTTAGCTTTCCATACTTCAGATGTAATGCCTGTCAGTGAGTACATACAAATGCTCTTTTCCCTTTTTGCAGCCTCAGATTAAGTAAATACTTAGGATAGGTACGTTGTAAGTCTTTCTGCACTGTAGAGTCAGTCCATCAAAGGATGTCTTCAGCAAGGTGCATTCACGTGGCAATACAGAGACCAGCCTGGTAACCTCTTCCAGGACTGGGCAAGCACCAGTCCCTCTGCAGCATGTTCCCAGAACCAGAGGTTATGGGGAACACTATGCAGAGACACCTCTACACGAGCACATCCCGATATGCTTATGGGTTTATGTACCAGGCCTGTGCTAACAGGCCAGGCTCAACTCCTGGAAAGCACTGGTTTTGCAGAAGTTATCTTCTCCCTGAAAGTCACAGTGAACCCGGTTGCTTCTATACTTCTTCCCAGCACCATACAGTCAGAGAGCTCATTCCCAGCCAGTCAGCCTCCTGCCTTCAACATGGGTAAAACCAGGTCATTTCAGAACTTCCATTAAAGTCTTAAGAAGACTTCTCCCACAAGTAGGGCCTTTCCTGAACTGCTTAGAGTTGTTTCCAATTGCCTTCCAAAAAAATACAACTTAGCTACTGTTTGTGGAAGGATCCACCTGTTGCAAGAAACAGTTCCAGGATCTGAGAGTCTTACCTTCTCACTCAAAGGACAGGAAGAAAGAAAAAATGTTTTTAAAGTAGAGGGGGATATCACTTCACATGACTGGCTAAGGGAGGGAGGATGAACCTAAAACAGTTTGATGAGAAAAAGTTGACTGGGGTAGCACCAGTGTTCCACAAGCTGTACACAGGAAGCTAGCAGAAGATGAACAAGACAGTGAAATGACAGAAGGGCCATGTAAAGAAAAAAAGATTCAAAAGAAAATATGCTATGCATTCACAGGTGCACTAGATGAGGTAGGAAAGTATTATTCAGCATGATGGCTAGGGAAGGATGAGGAATGAGGCATAAGGTGTTGTCTCATGTTACTTAATCTGGTGTATCTGTAAGCTGCTGTGAAAAGCATTATTCATATTCTCCTCCTCTCCTCTGACGCAGATCTAGTCATCATGCAGCTCAGTTTTCCATTGATCGGCTCTGGCTTCCTCTTACTTTCCAAACGAGGACAGTTTTGCAGAAAATGAGCTCGCTAAACCAACTCATTTTGTAGCTGCACAGATTGTTACATCCAGCCTAGGGCAGGGGTAGGGAACAGAGTTGGAGAAAACCAAAAGCCGCCAGTTCCACGGGCAATCCACAGCAATGCCAGATTTTACAACGATGCTTCAGACTGACCCTGTCATCTCATAACAATTATGATCTCACTCCCAAACACAGGACTCCAATCCTTGGATAGACTGTTTCAGTTTGCCAAATCAGAAGGAGGAGACTTTTTTTTTCTTGGATAGGCTGGTTTCTGAGATGAGCCAGATCAACCTTCTAAACTGGCAATGCTCAGATACGCACTGAAGTCGCACTAACTAACACAACTTTGCACCTACAGACAAACCACCCCTTCTGGCAGCAGCAAGTAATTAAATCACATCAGCCGTCTCGTAAAACCTCACTCAAACTGTGGAATGAGGGAGAGGGAGACAGATTAGCAAAGGGGACGTAAGAGTTCTGGAAGCTGCATGAGAAAAAAAATATAATAAGCAAGATCTTTGTTTGCAAAAGAGGTGGGGTTAGGAGAATGAGTAACATAGGGATGTAAGAACTGAGTAGGAGCAAGACCAAGAAGTTAAAAAAGCTGAGAAGACAATAAGAAAGGGCACAAGTGTTTCAGGAAATCGGAGGCAGAGAAAGTAGCAGCCTCAATGAACCTGAGAAAATAGGGGAGCACTCATCTGCAAACCAGGGGAGAGAGAGCAGCTGCCTTCTAGACTAAGGAGAGAGGAACCAGCTGTGTAGAGAAGGGAGGAAAAAAAATCCAAGTGAGACACAAGAAATTATTTCTCTACTTTGAGGATGGCTGAACACTGGACAGGTTGCCCAGAGAGGTTGTGGAGTCTCCATCCTTGGAGATATTCAAAACTTGACTGGATGAGGTCCCAAGCAACCTGCTCTGGCTGATCCTTCTTGAGCAAGGAGAACTCCAGAGGTCCCTTCCAGCACCAACTGTTCTGTGATAGTGTCCTCTGGAATCCACACCTCCTTCCTTCAGCACCTCATAGTCTCCTCCTACCAGGGCAGTGCTGAGCGGCAAGTGACTGGTGAGCAATACAGTCCTTGTATCTGTGCAGCAATCTTTTGTATCAAGATCACTTTAATGCTGCCTTTCTGCAGTGTGGTCCTAGTTATATCCGTAGGGCTTTGGAAGCTGGAACAAATGAGTAGAAGAGGCCTCTCTGTTTTCTATTTCCAGAGAGATCAGTGATAGAAACAGCCAGCAAGAGGTAGTTCTAAGTACACAGGTTACCACTGCTGCTACACCAGCCTCTTTTTAGCAGATGACAGTGCAGTCAGTACCTTCCCACCTAAGAAGTTTTGTGGGAGGAAGGAGGACTATGTTTGGCCCCTGAAGAAGGTTAGGAACCAACAAAGGCATGAACATTTGAAAAGTAGTAGTCTACATTCAGACATCTTCCTGCGTATGAAAGCTTTTATTCTGTAAAGGCTACAAACAGTACTATTATCAGCGACAGACAGAAAAAGGGAGAAGGTCCTAGCCCTGCTGGCCATTGTCAGACAAGAATGCAGGAGAGCTGGACTCCTGGTCTGATTCTGTACAGACATCTTATATGGTGACTGTGTTTCTATATATTTAGGACACTTACCTACACAGACACATTTTCCCGTTAACATAAATTCTACCTGATAATGATTCATGTGTAAACACCTGTGTTTTGAGACACATTTAAAAAACCTCAAGATCCATTCTGAGTTGTACACTGCCAGATGCAGCTCATCATCGGTTTTCTCAAGAAGGGTTTGACAATAGTTCAATTAACATTTGCTAGTTGACAGGATGCCACTTTGTTTTTTCAAAAGATGAACTGTATGCTGTGAAACACCTGTGGACAGCAAGAAGGGAGAAGGTGGTCTTATAGCTCATAACAGAAGGCTGCCCTGAGAAACTGGATTCTACCCCTCCATCAGAAGAGCCTCCAACCTGATGCAAGGCAAGTCACTTAAAGTAAATAGGTACCATATGTTCACCTTGTTTAAGAAAACCTGTATTCTGGTTTGAAGAGTACGAAATTACTTCTAATGAAGGTACAAAATATGAACTTAAGTCCTTTGTAAGTTCTCTAAAAATTCAGGCCCTACATATCTAAACACTGAGCATGAAAATCAAGAATACCATTGTTTCTTCTTCCGTATGTCTGTCTCCTGTCTTGAAAGTCAGTATCATACCTCTCATGCATACAGAAGCTGGAAAAATGCACCTTTGAGTATCATTACCAATACAGCAAGAAACATCATAAAAAACAGTTTACTCACAACTGCTTCCATGACTTATTACAGAGTAACAGTAACATACCAGACAAAGAAAACAGAATAGCAAACTGCACATTTGACATGGTAAAGGTCCTGATTTCTCTTGCTAACATATCAGATAGAGACCACATCTTGCCCCACCCTTTCACTTCTTCAGTATCATCATCCCTATATCCCCAATTTACCAATAGGAAAGATAGCAACGAAAGAGCTAGGAATTCACCCCCCATTTCTCTTAACATCTGTTTTCCCACTTTGCAAGTTCCCTCATTTACATAGTTATGGAGAAAATCACGGGAGTAGAAATTTTCAGGCATGACTAAGCCAATCTAACAAATGACTGCTGCTAAAAAGGGTGGTCCTGCTTCCTCGCTCCTTGATCCTTCCCTTGAGTCAGGTCTAGCACTTATCTGAGCTTGCAGTGAGCCAATACAGCTAATTAAACTGGAGAAAAGCAATCCCAGCAAAAGAAAAAATAACCCAATTAGAACACAGAAAAACATAATAGTCTTCTGCTGGTTTCATGAGTCAAATCGCCTCACAAGGGCACGAATGTACACCACATTGGTGCAATAAAAGGGCCAGAAACAGTGATAGCAATGAGGATGGCACTACACTGCCTTTTTAAGCGGCAGGGAAACACGAAGCCACCAAGCTACCTGATAGGACATCAGCAACAGACAACAGTCCTTCAGACAAAGTAGTCTTGTCTCCCAGTTCCCTTTGCTCATCAACCTTCACATACCTCCAGTCCCCATGTGTTCCTAACCCGCTTTGATAGGCGTTGCAATCCCAGAACTCACACTTATTAGATTCATAGGGTAGATGTGAGCATACTGCACCACAGCTTCTTCTACATCTGAACAGGAAGCAAGTTCAGCTGCAGTACTTCATACTGAACCCTTAACAACAGGGCAGGACTGTATGGAAAAGAACACGCACTGCTGTGATTGACTGTAAAGCAACCTCCCCATTCAAGAAGTCTCCCTTTCCAGGGGAGTGGGATTGCCTAGAGAAAGGTAGGATCACAGCAACTGTGGCTTAACCCTTGCCCACAGTTCCACAGCTCTTCTATCTCTATCTCAAGCACAACTTTTCTTTCAATTAGCATAGAGGTTATAAGAGCATAGTTAAGGTAAAGATGATGATCTGTCACAATTCTGTATGCCAGCACATCCGCTTCTCCTTCACATAACACTGCAAACACAAGATTGTGAGAAAGGCTGGCTTAAAGAGCTCTGTGCCACGGTACATCAATAAAAGACTGTTCACTTAAAAAGCAAGACCAAATCACACTACTTTATTTGATGAAACTAAGCCTTTGGTCTACTCACAGTAAAAGGCTACAGAACGTTAAATGCATCTTGCAATTTTCATTGACAACAACAAATCCTTGAAATCCAATGGCAAAGCTCATGTCTCATCCAGATGTAAAGATCAACCCACGCAAAAGACAGATATGTACTACAACCAGTCACTTACCCGGCAAAGTGGCTAAAGGTCTGTGTTGATCTATGTCGTCATTGTTGATCTAGCAGATCGACAACACCAATAATTCATATGAGACTTAATACTGTAAAAACTGTGAAACTGGCACTCTGCCCCCCCACACACTATTTTTAAAATTCATCTCAAATAACCAAGTAAGTAGAAAGTGAAATTAAAAAGATACACTAACACAGCAAAATAAAACATATTCTGTTGATGTTATAATTAGATATAACCACAGTGCATATGACCACATGCTATTGTTGCTTCTCTCCACTTCCTGAAAGACTTCTACCTTATTAATTTCATAGAAAAGATGACTTAAGGAATGAAGCAGGGTTACACAGAAAATAAATCATTAAAACTGTGTGATTTATTGGAGAAGCTCTAGGTATAAAGTGAGGCAAACGATATAAGAAACCCTTTAACCTTTCCCCATTCAAACAGCAACTCCTCACAGTAACCACTGAACTCAGCATTTCTCTGTTTCATACTGAGAAGCTTGATAAAAAAAAGGTCTTTTTCAGTGGAGTCCACCATAAAATCGTTGGCCGTCACGTATTAAACATGAGGCACATTCCACTGTTGTGTAAAACAGGCTGTTATATGTCTCATGTTAAGTATTGGGCAGCAACAAGGCAAAATAATAAAGACTTCCGCTCAGAATATATCATGTTACCAAGGCATTAAATACTCTACAGAAAGATGGATCCGAAGAACCTTGATCTGACATGTTCAATATTAGCAGAGTTTAATTCCCATGCTGTTGTGCATGGTCTTTTCTCCAAGAACGGTAAGCTGTTATACCCCTAACATCAGCTTTAAGGACACACTTATTTGTAAGGAACAAGTATCACAGTGATGAAAGCCACACAAAAGGCCAATTCCTTTTTAGGCAAGTCTTTGACAGTATTTCTTCATTCAGTAAATAACCCACATCTTACTAAGAGACTAAAACAAGGGCCCTACACTGCAAATATCCAGCTACCTATTGCTCATTAGATGAGGTGAACGAGGCAGAGGCACGGGAAAAGGCCACGCAACTGCAAATTTGCACTTCAGAACCGGTTCTTCTAATCTCATGCTACCCGTACAATGCATGAATTACACCGCAGGGATTATTTACCCCGGGGCCAAGCTTCAGATGCACGGACTACCACGGCCCTGGCACGACTTACCTCGACACTGGGCAAGGCAGCCTCTACAGGCTCGTCCCCCAGCCCCA